AACTTGGAAATCCAAAATGGAATGTTTTTAACTTGCCCACGGAGTCGGCCTGATTCCAAAATGGTGTGATATGTTGGGCTACGACCTCTAGGAGTAAAGTTGAAAACACAATTTTATTTTGAACATTGTAATTTAAGAACAGCATTTTTTTTCATTTGAACATGTGTTATTGAAAGTTAGAGAGTTGTTTCCCTTTAATTGTTTTTATCAATAGAAGCCAATATGGTGGAATCTGAAAACGATTGCAGTAATGAAAACTTAGGAATCCAAAATTTCAGGTTCAAATGTTTTTAATTTGCTAACAGAGTCAGTCCGATTCCAAAATGGTATGATATTTTGGGTTATGGTCTCTAGGAGTAAAGTTGAAAAACTGTGACACAGTGACACACTGACATTTGAATTTATTATATAGATTATTCCTTTATGTATTTTTTTATGGACACAAGTTTTATGTGCTTTAAAATATGGCACTTTATTTTCTAAAATTTGTTGTTCTACTGGATTCACTGGCCTCTATGTCACATTCCAAAATAAATTGTCTTTTATATTAGAATTCACATAAATGCTGCCATCAGCAGCAATTAAGCTTGATGTCAAGTCACTTCATATTTAGAGAATTTATATTATGACAAGTTTACTCATGACATAAAATAGTGATGGCATATTTTATTAAGTCCTTACTATTATTAGGTTTTTCCATGTCAGTCTTTAAATATATTTTTCCAATTATGATATTAATGCGCAGTAATTTTAAGGGGATTAAATTATTTAATAAAAATAGAAAACTGAATCCTTGCTTTATGTACAATAGAATTTTATATTAATGCTATTTTAACCACACCTTAAAAAAAATGGCAGCATATTCTTTATATCATTAACTAGCAGTAGAGATGTAACAGTAAGAGATAGAACAAGTATCGACCATCATAAAGACTGAAAAATAAAATTGACAAAGATTATTGTTTAAGGTTGACGAACATGCATGTCTTAATTAGTTTTTTTTGTCTTGTTTTTTTTTTTTACAAATTGGTCAAACCCAAACTCAAACAAAAATATTGTTTTCAATTGTTATGAGTCTACCGATTGAATAGAATTTTATTATAAACAATTGTCTTGTAAATGGAATTTTTAAAGCATTCTGAATGTAAAAATAAAGAAAAACGTGTGCAAGACAATCAGAAACATTACCTGCCAAAAAAAAGTGAAGTTTTGTTGAAATCGGTTGAAAAATGTAGGAAATCCGATCCCATATATAAACGAACACACACACACACACACAAACAACCTGGGTTTTATAAGTATAACTCGATATGAGTTGTCCCCTTTTCATTTTCATTAAGATGCCACTTAATCGTGTTTTCAAATTGATTTTGTACAAAAACAATTGTGTTTTTCCAATTTTTGGTGCTGTCAGAACCACCGCAAGGTAATTTTACATAGTTCTGTGAAGTTTTGTTGAAATCGGTTGAAAAATGTAGGAAATCCGATCCAATATATAAATGTACAGACACACACACACAACCTGGGTTTTATAATAAGTATGATATTTCTGGAAGATTTTGACCTGTCAGTTTTTATCTATATGGTCAAAAATAATGGCATAAATGTAATTGAGATTATAACATCTTTTGTTTCACATTATTAACCACTTCACATTTTAAAAATACATAAAAAAAACTTAATGGAATGACAAGGTTTATTTGCTGAATGATGGCAGCATCTGTGTGCTGAGTTAAGATGAAAATTGATTCATTTTGCACAGATATAAACGAAAAAGCAGCCCTTTGTAGGATATGTCCTGAAATTTGAAGTCTCAAATTAATAATCAAGTTGTGAGGATGAAGATTTTAAATGAGTTGTAAAGCTGATTTAATGAATAAAGAAAAATGTTTAGTAACTTCTGAGATTGCAAAGAATATGAGAAATTTCAAAAATGAAACTGCAAAAAAGTTAATTGAAAATTCTGTTTGATATAGGCCAGTTACAGACTTTATCTTGCTGATCTGTTTTTATTCAAGGTAGAAATTATAAAAAAAATCCATATTTGATATGAAGTTTTTAAGTGTTGTGTCAGTGAGGAAGTGTCAAAAGGCACAAGATTTCAGTGAAAAAATTGGTTTTAACTTTCTAGTTTTTTCTCAGAGGAATGGATGGTACCCTCAATAGGAATGATGTATCAAGCAAAGTTTGGGTGGTTATTGGCAGAAATCAAACACACAGGTTGAGATGTCAAGAAATTAGAGGTGATATGATGTTTTAAGATGTTTTATTGTAGGTGATGAAATAGTAGTTCCAACTGGTGTAAAGATAACAGCTGAGAAACACATTGATTCAAACATTTTCAGAAATATGATTTCCATGCATATAAGTACTCTATCATATTTAGTGAAGAAAACTGTCATGCCTTCAAAGAACAAAGTCAACATGTGCGTGAGTGGCATCGACTTGCTAATGCTGCCAGGAATAACCAGGTATTATTTCTCCAAGCATGAATAGTGATAGTGGGTACTCACATAATGCTATTCAACTAATGAAAATTAGCTCAAGTTTTGGAAAACTGGAGAAAAAATTTCCCTTTTTACCAATCAAGTTCCATAGGAGTCATATTTAGTAGCATGTGTGGCCCCCTAACATTGATGGAGAAAAACTTTAACAACACCCTCAACGAAGAATAAGAAGAATAGCTCATATATCAAGTCAGTCTAAATTAGCATTCCATTCTCATATGTAATTCATATGGATATTTCCACACACAAAACATTACTTCAGATGTGCATTTATTGGAATTTAATTTGAGAACCACAAATACAATATTTTACAAGTTCACATTCTAGCCTATTTTCCAATCCTCACTCTAACCTTATTCCTTGCTTTCAAAACCGGCTCCCAAAGCCTTGATTATTATCAGAGATAAGAATATATTTTCTGACTAACAAGAGAGCTGGAAAATATAAAAAGGAATTCCAGCACCATTATTCTTTCCATGGTGCCATAAAGTCTAGGGGAAATCTCACAGCTCCCAAGACCTTGATTCTTATCAGAGATAAGTATATATTTTCTAACCAATGAAAGGTGCCAGGAAATTTGGATAACAATTTTGGAGGGAAAAGTCCCTGATTCTTCTGAGCCTCCCAAATCTCTATAAATTTGAAGAATCTTTGCCTATTTGGCAGTGAGTAACTTTGATGACCAGCTGAGATAACAACAGGTTGACAACAGAAAGGCATTCATCTTCAGGAAAGATCTAACTGCTGGAGTGAAAAGACTACGTCAACCCACTACTAAAAACTAATTGAGAACTGCCTCCTTGTGACTGAAGATTTCTGTCATCAACCTACGAACTCACTCAACTACAGAATTTTGTATCCACCAACCTTTTTTCTACTCTGCAAGAACTCTGAAGAAAACTGTGAGAGTTTTGACCCTTAACAACCTTTTACTCACTTAAAGAACTTTTAGGTGCCCAGAGAAATATTTTGAGCAAGTTTTTTTTCTTTTATGAACATTTTCTCTTCCTAAAAAGGACTTTTTCTTCTTCCTTTCTTTCTGACATAATTGTGTTTAGTTTATCCCTTTTTTTTTAATACATGTAAATAAACACTTTCTTCCTTTATTGTTACACACCGGGCAGTTTTGAGTCTTTCTTTATATGTCCACAAAAAGTGAGAGTCTTTCATGTGGGGAAAACCGGGACAAATTTCCCACACATTTGCTTTCACTAAAATAATTATCTTTATTTGTTAAACTCAGTTTTGTTCTTATTTTGTTTATTTCATTATATGCATACACACACATACACACACACACACACTGCTAATTGGCAAGTCTCTTTCCTGCTTGAACGGAATCTTCAAGCCTGATATATATATATATATATATATATATATATTATTGGAAAATGATATATAAATTTTTTATATATCAGAACAATTTTAGGAAAATCTATGAAAAAATGTTTTTATGTGATGTGTTTTGTCCTTTAGGACTTTATCAGAACAAATTTTTTTTATGCTAACACATGCACATGAAAGAGAGAGAAGACGGAGAATTTAAAATTATTTTTTTTTCTTTAATAAGTGCTTGGATATAGTCTAGCTGATTTCATTTAGATTTTTTTTTCTTTTCATTTATGATTTTATCACTTTTATTATTAAATATCCCACATAGTGATAATCTGCCAAGAAAGGGGAAATCTTTTAAGAACTTTGATTTGCTGTGGATGACATAACAATTAAAGCACTTTCTATAAATTTTCATCTTGGAAAATTTCTTTCTCTTTTAATTAATAGCATTTTTTAAATCAAAATTATGGTCAGACTTGACTTTACAGTGAGCAACTAAATGCATTGAGTATGTAGTTTTGTAAACACAAACTTAAGGGATCTCTAAACAATATACTCAAAAACTCAATGCATAAAGGACGAAACGTTTCGTCCTTTATGCATTGAGTTTTTGAGTATATTGTTTAGAGATCCCTTAAGTTTGTGTTTACAAAACTACATATATATATATATATATGAGAAAGGGAGACTTTATTTTTAAGCTTCAGTAGTAGATTTATTTACTTTCTTACAAAAGATGAGTTTTTATTTTTCATGAATATATACACGATTTACAGCTATAAAGCTCTATAAAATAAATAAACCACTTCTGAAATTGGTTATGCGGTTTAAAAAAATCTCTCTGTCTAGTGACCTAGTCATATGTAGTGAAACCCCAACAGGAGTTACTGTGCTCTTGTCTTGGATAGCAGTCTAGGAGAAGGACAACTTGGAATTCAGAACTGTAGGGAAAGCTAGCGGAAATCACGTCACTATATTTCTTAAAAAATCTTGGTGATTCACAGATAATAAAAAAAGGAATTTGTGGAGAGCCATGATTGCCAACATCCTGAAACGACATGTTATGAAATAGGAGAGAAGAGACGCAAGGGAGATAACTCCAACTTGCTTAACGTACACAAAAAAAAGGGAAGTAAAATCAATATCCAAGGCGTAAACATGGTTCGGAGTTCCATGTTTTTTGTTGTCCCTTTATTAACCAAAAGCTTAGCTTGTCGGAATGCAAATATCAAATGTTGCAAAGTTTTAAGAAAAACCAGAATTCAGGTAATTTTATTTCTGCATTGTAAAGACGACGGTATCCATATCATTTTGCTATATTTCATAAGTAGTTTTTACGTAATATCACCAACATTTCGTAGAGGACAGAAATGAATTTAAGTGAATCCCAGTTTTTTTTTTAGACAAATTGTCTAATTAAACTAAGTTGTTAATTAATTTAGTCGTCTGATTAAACTTGGAACGAAAGAAATATGAGAAAAATTCTTTAATGCTCTTTTTGTTTGTATGTAAAATTTTTGTCTTTCGCCCGATCCAAGACTCGGATATATTTTCTTTCGTATTTGACTTTTATTAAATAATTCCTAAAATTAATGATTAATCGAATATTGATCAGATCGTGTTAATCCGAGTAATTGTTTTTCCACACAAGAAAGTAAAAACAAAGATTTTGTTATTTTTATTATTTTTCGTGGTCATGAAACATTTAAGCAAAAATCCAATAATTACATGACCACTGAAAAATGGTTCTGCCAAATTTGCAAAGATTTCATAAAGTATGTTTTCAATATGTGGGAAATAATCTAAAAATGTTGGATTAGTTTTTCCTTTAAATTAAAAATTGATACATGACTAAAGAAAACTATTTTGTTTTCCAACAATGGCAAGTTTTTAATAATTATTGAAGAAGAAATATTTGGCAGCTTTTAAACTCTTTGGCAGGTACAACTCATACTTGTAAAAGAGTATATGTGTCTGTGTGTGTACACAAGACACAAAATTCCTTCACTTCAGCATGGAAACATAGCCATCATAGTGAAACTGCTTTTCCATAATCAAAGGCCCTGGACAGGTCATCTGGCATGTATGGAGGGTGACAGATTGCCCAAAAAACTTTTTTATGGTTAGCTGGTACACGGTAATAGGCTCACTCATAAGCGCAAAACACTTTTCAAAGATGTAGTTAAATGTAGCCTAAAGACTCTTGGGGTTAATGATGAAGACTGGGATACTTTTACTGGAGATAGATCTGGTTGGAGAAGGTTGATTTGGAATGCTGCAACAATTTTGAGCAGAAGAGAATTGAGCATTCCAACAAAAAGCATGTCATTAAGAAGGGAGAAATAGAATCTGTCCCAGAGCTATTAGAACACCAACACACTTCCAGAGAGGTCAAGTGTGAACTCGTGTGAATGCAACCCTGCCAAAAAGACCTGCAGGTTACTTGTGCAAGTTTTGTGATAAGGTTTGTAAATCTGTTGCAGGACTCAAACAGGGACAAGCAAATTTCCAACATAGACAAACTTTATGTTTGCCACATGTATAAGAGAGGTTGTAAAAGTGAAACTTGCCTTAAGAATGACTTACGGGTCCAAAGTGTTAACTCTCCTTAAATGATGGAAATAATAAAATTCAGAATGAAAGCCACAAAAAAAAAACTACCAAATGAAGAGTTGATACAGAAATCAACATGACATGATGACTGTCAGTTTAATTCCCCAAGTGATCTGTAATATATATATATATATTGTAGTGAAAGAGATAATCCACTACCTCGAAAAAGAGTTTGTGTTTTGTGCGTGATCTGCCGAAGAAAAATTACCAAAAAGTAGTTAACAAAAAAAAAAAAAAAATCTACTTTAAGGACGAGAATCTATGCTAATGTTCTTCCCTCCCCTGAATGGCGTGACCAATCAGAAAGATCTGTTGGTGAACAAAAGCCATTGTTCTTCGCTTATAAATGTAGGAGATTTTCTGAGCTCAGGAGACAAACACACGTTTTTGCTGGTGAAAAGTGAAGGTTGGACATGTGACCCCATTTTGTCGTTTCTACGATGCTTGTTGGACTGTTACGACGGGTTATCGTATGAACTGTGATTTGGCTACAACTGTTGCAGTCAAGAGACAGAAGAAATCTATTGCTACTATAAGTTGACAGTCTTTTCTTTACAACCACACACACACACACACACACACACATATATATATAGATAATATTAGTGGAAAATATACATACGTATGCAAAATATATAAATACCCATACATGTATATTGTCAGAAAAAAATTTCAAGTGGAAGAATCCAGGTAGAACTCAATGTCTAGGACAGAGTAAGGATATAATAAAAAGGCTTAAACACTAATATTCCATGGTCATTATTTATTCCATTGGAATCGTAAATACGATCCAATTCATCAGACCTACAAATTCAAAATGAAAACAGAAAAAATCACTCCGGAAGTGAAAACAGAATTTAGAGAAAGTGTAAATATGAGGAGGGGGGAGATTGAACCTTAACAGAGAGAATTTTAGGAGAGGTGGTGGGGAGGGTTTTAGATAAGAGAAGAGAATGAATGTCAACGGATGTCTAATGCATAAAGATACATTTCGTGGTGACATACACACACCATCAACAATTTAATGCAAGAATAATAGGGAGGGGAAGGGAAAGAGGAGGTAGGGGAGAGATGGGATGAAGGAAAATAAAATTGCGTTTACTTAAAGGGCCGCTTTGTAATTGAGAAAATTTGACAAATTTAATATCGACTACAGGTTACAAATCAAATGTCTTTGAACATAGAAATATAGGTCCTTGCTGGATTAGACAATCGTTATATTTATCTTCATATATTTATATTTGATTTGTAACCTGCTAATACCCTTGGGAAAGGTATGAATCCTCATCTTCTCCCTCCAGCTATGGGTAAATAGCAGGACAGACTGGGTCCTATAGTCTTGGATGGCAATTGGTCTACCACAGAAAGAAATGACAACCTACTGTGGGAAAAAATCTGTCTCGCCAGTCATGTATTGAAAGATACATGATTGCCTTTTATCATGCATGGCATATAACTGACTGAAAATTTGAACAAGGCACATTTATATAAAAAACAACATTAAACATGTGTGCAAAAATTGGTTGGATGCACATGCAGGAAAAGAAAGGTTGGGGAGGTAGTGCGAGTTCAAAAGGTCCACTAGGCAAAAGAAATCCACACTTCGTGCCTTGATCTCTAATTTGCCACTCCCTGTCAGGAGTGAAAAGCGAACTACTGTTGAATGAGCATACCATGCTTTTATGCACCTGACCCAACCAGCGTTCACCCAATGAGCGCCCAGAACCAGCCAATAAAAATGGCTCTAAGTGACACCACCACTTCCATTTGCATGAAGTGCTTCCTGATTCACCATCTATCTGAAGGTCACCAATTTGCTGTCTCCACACACCTTTGAAAAACATACACATGACTCTGGCCCTTTAGGATCGCTGAGATAAGTCACCTGATCACAGCTGATGCATCCCAGGGCAGATCTCTTTTGTTGGGTACTCCTTCAAAGAGAAACAATGCAAGTCTTATTCTTCGACAAACTACGGTCTGGAGTGTCATTGGGTGCTCCAGCATTGGTCTCTGAACTTCTGGTATTGGAGGTATCACTCGGTGAACTAGATTTTAAATACACGAATCGTACACTCGCCTTTGTGCCGCTATCAAAGCCTGATGATGAATATGATCACAGAAAAGGGTGTAAATTTTTCACGTGCTGCAGTGTTACATGAATCTGCACTAACTGCAGAGTGATTACTTGGGTTACATGGCCTGTTTTGAATTTGGTTGTGCATCTTCCATGTGAAAACTTTACCCAGACGATGTCCCCTTCTTTGCATGCTCCTTGAATGCGATGCAAATGAGTGTGGATATGGTACCTATGCAGCACATTGGCCGGTGCTGCAGAAGTTGAAAGGCTGTCCTTGGGAGTGACATTGTGCCAATAGACCACCTCTGGCATTGAACATTGTTTTCTGGCTGCGATGGTCTTGATACTTCTATGACAGCATTCAGCAGTCCCATTCCCAGCTGGTACATGAGCACATCAGAATCTCAAGTGTACTCCTCAGCTATTTAAAAATTTCTTAAAGTTCTTACAGGTGAATGCAGTGTCATTATCAGCCACCATTTCAGCTGGTGGGCCCTGCTCATAGAAAATTGATTGATGCAACAACCGCCATATTGTGAACCAAGAAGGACTGCAATCAGTGAGGACTAGAAAATGACCACTTCGCAGGCTTTGACAACAGATTCGACAAGCTTTCTAGACACTAATGGGTCAACAGACCTGACAAAGTATAAGCTGGCAACTTTCATGGTGTATAATTGTTACCTGGTTCTTGTTCAATCTTCTCTCCACTATGGCGCAGCCTTTCAGCAGTGGCTCTTCTCCATGCCTATGTAAATCCAATCACCTCCTTGGCACTCATGTCAGGCAGTCTGCATGCTTTAGACAGGAATTCACCAGTTTCACATCCATCGTCAAGGTGTATTCCTTCACCAATGCTTGCAATGTCTCTAAGCGCCATCTTACCAGCATCTCACTGGCCGCCTTTGTGTTCACCCATGCCTTCCCAGTCAGGATGTCAGATATCCAGCAATGCATGAATGTTGAATCCGTAACCAAATGTAACACTGATGCCCGCCATTGAATGGCCAGATTTACACCTTATATTGCTTCATTGGGCTCAGCCAAATTGATATGCTTGGTATCTTCTGGATGCAACCAACTAGCATCCTCCATGATGATTCCATTCACTTCTAGTGCCACTCCTGTGGCCACAGAACTTGCATCCAACAAACGTTCATCTCATTACCATCAATGCACCAATCTCCTCTCACGGGATCCATCTTGCATACCTTGGCCACTGTTTCCATTAGCATGCAATGGAGAGAGACATCCTTGACTTGATCCCATTGGTTGGTCATTGCGGTCACCATCCACTTTATAATTGCAGTCGCCACTATGATCCAACCACACACAGGGAAATGACCCACAAGTTTCCTACATATGGAAAAGATACTGTGACAGGCGATGATCTGTGGAGTGTCTGGGACTTCACTTCCCCATTTCCATTGAATTATGCTCCCAGACCTGTAAGTCCAGGAGTTTAGTTCTATCTTCAAATCGCTCTGGATCTTTACAGACAAGCCCATAATCAGAGATTATGATGAGTGGTGCCACATTTAATCTGAAAACCAATTGTGCAAGGCAAAATCAC